GCACCCCTCCTCACTCCCCTGTGTTCGCAACAGTTCTTCGAGGCGTGGGCCCACGTGACGCAGGAGGAGACCAGAGACGATGACCATGATGATGGTGGCGATTCTCATGATGATGATGCTGATGATCATCATGACGACCCCTGGCGGTGGCGATGATGACGACCATGATGATGATCATGATGATGATGATGGTGGTGGTGATGATGATGATGATGATGATGACGATGATGATGAAATTGATGATAGCAATGAATGATGAATGATGATGATGATGATGATGATGATGGTGGTGATGATGATGATGATGATGATGATGATGATGTGTGATGATGATGATGATGATGATGATGATGATGATGGTGGTGGTGATGATGATGATGATGATGATGATGATGATGATGATGATGAATTGATGATAGAAATGATGATGATGATGATGATGATGATGATGAAATTGATGATAGAAATGATGATGATGATGATGATGATGATAGAAATGATGATGATGAAATTGATGATGAAGTTGATGATGAAATTGATGATGAAGTTGATGATGAAATTGATGATAGAAATGCTGATTGCGAACCCTGAAACTGATGTTACTTTTTGTCATGGAATTGTTTACCATCTCGACCTCGCTAGCGTGCTTTTGACGATGTTGATCCCCTCCCAGGTAGCAAGGGCGCACGATGAGAGCACAGACTTTGTCCTCCCAACCAGCCTCCTCTTCAAGATCTCAACTACTCTCCCCGACAACCGCTCTTCCCTCCTGGAGAGCTGCCGACCCCACGTCCCTCCGCTCCTTCGCGAGCTGCACGCCGAAGTTCTTGATAGGATGCAGTCGGCGCTGCAGGATGTGAAGGACGTAAGGAATCAGCAGGAGGCGTCGAGGACGATCAGGATGGAGGCAATCAAAGACGTCTACATGGATGTCGAGGACTCAGGTGTGCAGCGATGAAGATACAAGGGAGAATGCGCCTGGTCACTTGTTGGATGGACGTTTTCCTTGTCTTGTTGTCTTGCGATCTTGCGATCTTGCGATCTTGCGATCTTGAATTGTTCTTGTCTTTGTCTCTCAGTTGTTCATGCCTTGCTATTCTTGACATCGAACCATCAGAGGAAGACGAGCAGCAAGCAGAAGGGGAAGATCTCCTCCTCTTGCACCCTGACAACCTTCAAGGCGGGAAACCAATGGTACTACGATCTTCCTCTGCCATCTCTCCTTTCTCCTGCGCTGCCATCGCTCTTCCCTGATCTCTCCTGCTCTCTCCTGCTCTCTCCTGCTCTCTCTTCCTCTCTCCTCCTCTCTCCTCCTCTCCCGCGCTCATCTCCTCACCATCCAGTGGCAGATTGCTCAGGGCTGTCTGCATCACTTCCACAAGTCGCTGGTGCTGCAGCGATCGGAGAAGCAGCGCCTTAGCGATCTCAACAAGGTATCATACCTCACACTCGATGCTCCTGCTCCTCACCCTCCCGCAGGTCTCCAAGATCCGCTCGTCAATAAATCAGATCCCCAGGATTGTCTACGAGGTTGTCTTGCTCGTCGTTGTTCTCCTCGTCGTTCTCTCCTCGTCCTCTTCCTCCCTGTACCCGCCACCGTCCACGTCCTCCTCACCTCCTCACCCTCCTCTCCCCGATGCTCCTGCTCCATTTCATCCTTCTGGCCTCACTTGCATGGGATCGCACTTCCCTTACTCATTTCTGCCTCCGCTCATGGATACTCCCACCAGAGCTCCCCACTGTTTTCCCGCTGGTCCGCCCTGTACATTGTTGTCTGACTTTTCGTCTAGAACGCATCGAACAAGGAGAAGGAAGAGGAGGAGGCCGAGGACACAGCCATGGCAGAGGAGGAGCAGGAGGAAGAGAAGAGTACGTCTCCCTTCTCCACTTGCTGCTCGTGATTTCGATGCCAGAGGCGAGCGCGGCGCTGGAGGAGGACGGCATGCCGCACTCGATCAAAGAGACCTTCAAGGGGAAGGGAGGCAAGAGGAAACGAAACGAGGAGGGGGAGGAGCAGGAAGGGAAAGGAGGACGGGAAGAAGGAGGAGAAATGTCAAGAGAGAAGAAGCTGGAAGAGGAGGCCATAAAACTTGCGGAATCGCTCAAGAAAGACAAAAAGGTAAGTGCAGGAGCAGGAAAGAGGATAAGGATAAGGCGAGAACAAAGGAGGAGGAGGAGGAGGAGGAGGAGGAGGAGGAGGAGGAGGAGGAGGAGGAGGAGGAGGAGATACGGGGCAAAGGTCTAAGGCTTCTTTTGGTGACAAACTCAAGCAGGTGGAGGAGGAGGAGGAGAAATTCGAGCCGTTCGACTACAGTCAAGTGAAGGAGAGCGTACAAGCAGAGGCCGGATGGAAGGAAAAACTCAAAGAAAAGTCTGAGAAGAAAGGAAAGAAAAGTGAGCACACGCTCCTCGTCTCGCCTCTGTTCCTTGTTGTTCTCTTCCCTTCCTCACAAGAAACTGTTTCTTGTTGTTCTCTTCCCTTCCTCACCATGTCGACAGAAGCAGAATTCTTTGATCCCCACAACGACATGCTTGGACAGAAAGAGTCGCAGGTCATCTCCTCTTCCTTTCCTCCTTCCTTCACCCCCCTTCTCTTGCTCGTCCGCTGCTCCTACTCCTCCTCCTGCTCCTGCTCCTGCTCCTGCTCCTGCTCCTCCTGCTTCTCTTGTCTCATTCTATCGGTCAGGTGCGCGCGAACCGTCGAGCTCGCCCGGCAGGCAAGAGCGCGACGTTTGCAGGAAACTCGCAAGGAGGAAAGGGTGGAGGAAAATCGCAATGGCCGCAGAAATGATGACCAACGACGAAGAGGAGCAATAGGAGCAGAATGACAGGAAGCAGGAGGGGTAGGAGGAGGAGGAGGAGGAGGAGGAGGAGGAGGAGGACGGGGAAGAGAGGGAGCAGGAGGAGGACGGAGGAGGGGAGGGAGACGGGAGGATAGGGAGAAGATTGAAGCTGTAAAATAAACATGAAGAGAACCGAGTCCGCTGCAGCTCAACTTCGAGCTGGAAGGAGAAACTGAATGCCGTCCTCTCTGAGACAGTGACGCAAGCTCCTGGTCGCCTGCTCAGATCCAGTCAGACACAGAGATAGCGAGATGATGATGATGATGATGATGATGATGATGATGATGATGATGATGATGATGATGATGATGATGATGATGATGATGAGGAGGAGGAGGAGGAGGAGGAGGAGGAGGAGGAGGAGCATCGTCAGCGGAGGCGGGCGCAGCAGCAGCAGCATCAGAAGCAGCAGCAGCAGCAAAGGAAGAAGAAGAAGAAGAAGAAGAAACATGCAAGCCAGACAAGGATTATACAGACGAGAAAGGGAAAAGAAAACGAGGGAGGCGGTAAAGAAAGAACGCTAAGGGAAGTTCTCACATCCTTGGTTGAAGTCGACAAACTCACATCGCAAAACATCTAAAACAATTGTCGTCAAAGCAGCGAGAACAACTCGCTACTCATCTCATCTCACCATCACGTCTGCCTTGAACTCAGTATCTGCACAACAAGCTTGTTTGTAACCTTCGTCACCACCAAATATAAAGAATGCAGGAGGAGGGAGCGAGAAGAGCAAACACATGGCTGTTAGCCAACCGCAGAAATTTGCAATCAGATCGTAGACATCCAACTTTGTTCTGCGGCTCTGTTGCAACTCACAATGTCTGCAGACTTCACTCGTTGCGTTCTTGGACTTTCTCCATTGCAGTCTGCAGGCCATACAACATACCATGAGCAAGAAGCAAGACTGTGCACAAACTTTTGTGGCAACAGCAGCAATAAGTGGAAATAATGATTCATGGAGTTGATGGAAATGGTACAGATGATGTTGATTGTGATTATGACCGGTAGGAGGAGGAGGAAGAGGACGACGACGAGGAGGAGGAGGAGCCCTACCAAGGAGGAGGAGGAGGAGGAGGAGGAGGAGGAGGAAGAGCCCTACCAAGGAGGAGGAGAAGGAGGGAGGCAAGAAAGAAGAAGTCTACCTGACTTCAAACTCTCCCTCATGCCCACATGTTATCTCTTGAAAGATGCTAATCACATCACAAACATTATCAGAGCATGTCATGAGTCCCTTACCGCCTCGCACCTATCGCACAGCATCACTCGTGATAGCCGAACTCCAGACCTCACAAGTCCGCAGAGCAGGACAAGGTCAGAGAACAGTCCGCCTGAGCCCAGCGAGCAGTAGTTGAGCCCTCGTCCTCGTCTTCGTCCTCCTGCTCCTCCTCCTCGTCCTCCTCCTTTCTCTTCTCCCGCTCCTGCCTCTCCTCCACCTCCCTCTGTGCCAAACTTGCCCAGCACATGCTCTACCACAAGCTTGTCGAAGCGATGCCTCGTCCTCTCTGATATGCAGGGGCACTCATACAGACCACCAACGCTCCTCATCCTATACGCGACTGGTCGGTCCCGCATCCCATCCTCGAGGACGCGGAGGGTGGGAGGGACTACGCAGCCATCATGGCATGCGGTAAGAGAAGCATCAGCGTCTTGCAATGTCACTCTCGCATACCCTGCTTCTGTAGCTTCCAGCGTTGCTCCTGCCCTCCCCCTCCCCGACTCACGCGCTGCGTCCCCTTCCTCGGGCCATGTCGTCCATCGCGCTTCCTTGCTCTTCGCATCAAACACCAGGATGGCATCTGTTGCATGCAAGATGGCAAGAAAGAGCAAGACGAGCCTGAGCATGCCGAGCTAGCGGGAGCGCATGCCCTGACTTGCTTCAGCGCCGACACTTCATGGTCTCTGAGGTTTCATGCTTGAGCTGGTCATGAGAAGTCAGAAGAGAGGAGGAGAGGCAGCGAGAGGAGTAAGGCAAGGCTGGAGGAGAGGAGGCTTGAGGAGAGGAGAGAGCAGGAGAGGAGGATGCAGTACACGGCAACCAGTATGGGGACAGGAGGAGGAAAAGGGATGGCGGGGCCGGGGGAATGGGAAACTGGAAATGGAATGGGAACAAAGGGGTGGGAGAGCTGCTGCTGCTGCTGCTGCTGCTGCTGCTGCTGCTGCTGCTGCTGATCTTTAAACCCTGAAACCTGTTGCTGGTGCCAGAAACGAAGGGCATGCAAATCAAAACCTTTCATGTCACGATAGCTTCATGACAATGGAATGGGCACGTTTGACACAGCTCCGCTTGCTCAACCCATTGTTGACCTAGGTTGTGCCCACATGGCGTGTGCTTGCGAACACGAGGTAATGAGCAGCAGATGTTTTACTTCTTTCCTTGATATTCACAAAACAACAAGATTGTTGGAAACATTATCGCATAGCCAAGTTTCTCTTCAGAACCATAGTTTTATTCGTTCCTTCTTACAAATCAACAAGCTTACCAGCAACAGTCCAGTCACTCTAGTTGTTAACTCGAAACCAAGATCTTCAAGGTGTATGTACAAGTATGATTCAAAGACAAATCCTCCTCCTGCTTCCTCCCTCCTCCTCCTCCTTCAGTCGGAGTCTGACAGGGGCAGAGGGGTCCTCGGAGCCGAAGGGGATCGCGGATCGCGGAGGTTGAGCACGCAGTCAGGGATCTCCACGGAAAGATTCTTCGGCCTCCTCCTCGAAGCATGGGTGGCAGGATGCGTCTCCTTATCGGGCATGGAGTAGCTGCTGAGTACAGGGCTGAGGGGGACGGCCGGGCTCATGTTCGCGCTTCCAGTCGGACTGCAGGGATAGCTGTCCGCAATGTTGGGATCAAAAAGAGTCTTGTTGTCAGCAGGGTAGCTGAAGTTGTCGTGTTTGGCGTGTTGATTTCCCATGTCTGCTGATTTGATGTGAACCAGAATGGTTCTTGGCTATCTTGCTCTCAATGTTCGGAATGGCTTCTGGATCCAACCTTGGTCGCCGTCGCGGATTCTTCCGCTCCTTGTCTCTGGGTTATGCTGATAAATTGTTGTGCAGGTTCGAATTGAACACGCAGTAACTCCTCTACTCTTCTTCCCTCTGGCTTCTCTCCTTGCTCCAGAACTACTAACACCACTCGACTATAACTCAAGGAGCAACACACAGTTCCATGTACCTCAACTTCCCGTCGCTTCTTCCTTGTACTTTTCTCCTGTAGTTCTCTTCTCCTCTCTCCTCTCCTCTCTTCGTCTCCTCCTGCTCTCTTGCTTGTCAACACTTCTACTCCTTCGCTTTCTTGTTCGTTTTCGCGCCCCTGTAGCTTGTTTGCTCGCAGACTCGAACCCCAGTGAATTTAAGACTGTTACGTTTCATCAAAAAGGGGGTGGGGGTAAATTGAGTACGGGTGGTATCCAGCACCTATCAGCAGCACTACGACAATAAAAACTATATACCGGTACATTCCATATCTCTTATAGGGGTGAGGGGGTAGTATTCGGGACAAATTGAAAATGTTGGGGGTAGGGGTATTAACAAAAAGGGTACTTGGAACGGGAGGGACCAAGGGGTGGAAAGTCTGCAGCCGTTAATGGGAGCACCTTGAATCTTTAAAATGTAATATATTTGAGATAGTACCAAAGTTAAAGATAAGAAACAATATTCATACAATTAGGAAGTACTGGGGGACTGGAATTGCATACAACACAGAAAAACCATGTTTTATGTGTATATATTCTCAACAAACATCACGAAACCTCTCGTTTTCGAGACCCTAGAAGGTTATCCATAACCTGAACTGCACCCTTCAAAAAAATCAGTGAGCGCATGTTGGGAAAGCAAGAGGAGGAGGAGGAGGAGGAGGAGGACGAAAACAGAGGAAAGAGGAAGGAAGGGGATGAAAATAAACCTGGAAGCCTTGAAACCTGTACCTCAATTCGTCCCTTGACAATGATCTATCTTTGACCGCCTCCTGGGAATCAATTTAGACGAAGGCTCGCATAATGTTGACGATCTGAACCTCAAGTGCATTGAAGAGCCTGGTCACATCATCAAGGCTCGTTACGTTGGAACTATTCACACCAGCAGTTTGCTGCAACTGTCAGCGTCAAAGGCCGGGAAACTGCGAGCCTTGCAGTCGGATCGTACCTGGTCGGACCCACCTTTCAACGATTGTAGCTCGTCCCGGAGCTTCTTCTCTTGCGACCGATCTGCTTGCTTCACCTTGCGTTCGAATGCCTGAATCCTTCTGATGGCCTCAGAAAGGTCCCCATGTGAACCAGAAAGCATGCCGATGCCGATGCTGTCGTCGCCTTCCTCTCGGATCTCCCCATCCCCGGCTGTGACTCCTGACCGCAAGGATCGCGAAGACATGCTCGAGACCTATCCAGCACGTAAGGCACGGAGACGTGTGTGCGCTGCCACAACATACAGATTGCACGTCCATCCCGCCTGGTGCTGGAGCTAGGCACCTCCTGGAGGAGACATGGTTCAGCTCTCTGTTACACTCCATGTCGGGCTGACTCACTTTGTCACCGCCTGCAGAAGCTTACAAGCGCCCGCCATGCCCACGAAGTGCAGGCGGCATGCACAGCATCTGATCGAGCGCTGTTGTTCACGTGAGTGAATCGATCACAGCTTGCCCACAATGGCAGACGAAGACACTGATATACCTGCAGGACACGAGCTGACTTGCTTCTGATGTAGAGAGTTGACCTGATCTTTATGTACAAGGCGTCAACAAGAGAATCTGGGAGAAAGGAGAGGCATACGCGTGACTGTAGAATCGCAGTTAAGTTTGACGATGCCTGTAATGTTTTCAGCCGTAAGCATTAAAGCAAGGTCTCCCTGGGAAGAGAGAAGCACCGATCCGTATTTTTGAAGGAGGTTGCGGAATTCGTACTGTTTCCTCTGCTTTGCAAAGAGCTGCTCTAAGCGAGGAGAGCGCCCGTTCTGCTTCATCCTGTCCAGGTACTCCTCCCGGAGGTTCTCGCAAAGAGTCACCTGCGAGCAGAAGGATGCCGTCATGAAGAGCAGGAGAGAGTGTGCAGCAGACACCAGCGCCTTTGCTCGATCGGTCAGGATGTGTAGCTCCTGCGGGAAAACGAGCAAATGAGATTCAAAGTCGGACAGAGGAGTCCCTCACTCACAGCCTCGGAGACGTCCTTTTGCTTCGGGACCGCAGTGGCCAGTTTCAACGACTCTTGCAGACTTGACAAGACAACAACTCGATCTGAGCCTCCTTCGCCAAGCGCAATCTACAAGCATCAAAACACATTTGATTAGAACTTACACAGCTATCGGACTGCTACCTGGAGGACAAGGTTTGTCACAGGGTCCATGGAGACAGCAACCTTCTTGATGAGCAAGTCTTCTTGGGAGTCTATCCTTGCAGAACTGACCCCAAAGTCTCTCTCCTCCACTCTTCGCTTCAGGTCCATCTCCTTGATGTCCAGGTGGTAGAGCTGGTCGGACGTCGTTTCTGAAAGGAATTTGTGTCTCTTCAAGATCTTTGCCCTCAGTTGCGCTGCCACGTACTCCCTCCTCCTCATCCCATCCAGCAGCCTCGAGATCTCAAAGAAGACATCGATCGGAGCTCGCTGGCTAAGGATGTGCCGCAGCTCCTCCTTCTTCTGCTTGTGATCCCAGGAACTTCTATCGCTGACAACCTCCCTGCCGGTATGGTGCTCGCTGAACTCGAGGTAAGAAGTCAAAGTCGACCTGATTGCGTTCACGCTGTCTCCGTCTGCCCTGTTGGATGAGAGAACCTCAAACGCCACGTCATGCAGTCTCGACGTCACATCCTCGATGTCCTTGACCCCGGAAGTTCCGTGCTCCGGCGTCCCCTTCGAAACAGCTTCCATGTGAGCCGATGCCATGGCCCGCTGCTACATAGCACACGTGTACGGCACTGACCCTCCGGACCATGTTCGGCCTGACTCCCAGCATGTAGCCGTCATCGGCCGCATCAGCCGCTACCTTTGAGCACGGAGATGTGAGCGGTTCCCACCATGTCCAACAGCCTCTGGTCTGCCATCTTCACGGTGCACACAAACGGCAGTAAAACGCCAAACGGTTTGGTAACGGTTAAGTTGGCGGGAAACAAAACCCCTCATTCCATGTGCGTTGACGAGGAGAGGAGAGAGGGGAGGAGGAGGAGGAGGGAGGGGAGGGAAGGGGAGGTGGGGAAGGAGGGAGGGGAGGAGGAGGAGAACTGTTGTCGCATGCTAGTGAGGAGGGGGTATAAAAGAGGAGAGGGGGGTTTGGGGGGGGGGGGGAGGCAGTTGACATCCCTGGATGCACCTGTGTTCGACGTGCTGTCTATTGTGGGATAAGGAGATAGCTGTTGCCTCACTGGTTCTCAGGTCAATGCCGGAACCCGTGAACTCAGGCACCGACTGTCCGGAGCATGAAGTGCACAAGAAGGAGGGAAATCAACACTTCGCTGCAGGCGACTACGTCAAGGCAGTAGCAGCTTACAACAAGGCCATCAAGTCGGATCCTGACAACGGCGTCCTCTATAGGTACTTCCTTGTCTGACTGCTCACTAAGTGTCTTCTTGACGATGATGCAGCAACCGAGCAGCTGCTTTCATTCACTTGGGAAAGGAGATCAAAGCAATTAAGGATGCAGAACAGGCGATCGCCCTCAAACCTGACTGGGCGAAGGGGTACTTCAGGAAGGGATCGGCGCTTGCGGCTCTGAGAAAGTACGGATGTTGATGTTGGTGGGAGCTCTGGGATGCTCACAGTTGTTTTAGATGGGACGAGGCTTCTGAAGTCCTTTCCAAGGCACTTGAGCTAGAGCCTAAAAGCAAGGAGATATCCACACTGTTACGTGACGTGAATCGAAAAAGTGAGCCCGATGTCGATTTACGTCTCGGATTGCATGACTTTGTTTGTGCCTCTTTTCTTTCTCGACTCCTCTGCTCTTCTGTTTGGATCTTCTTCAATATTTCTGGTCATATCCATAACTTTCCCGTCTTACTCCGTACTCAGGGGCAGCAGAGCAAGGGGAGCGAAAGAAAGAGGAGAACAAGAAATCAGGGCTGCGGCTGGTGGCTGGAGGAGATAGCAAGGAGAGCGAGAAGGAGACAACGAGCGTTGCATTCCAGCCCATCGGCTTCTCCGAGTCCATCATCGAGCAGTTCGTGAAGGACTCGCTGACCAACGTCATCACTCAGTTTTCTCAGCAAGGTTCCTTCTACAATCTTCTCCTCCCCTCCCTCCCCCCTCCCTTCCTCCCTGACTGTTGGCTGGTTGCCAGGTGAGGTGAAGTCTATCGTCTACATGCAGCCCTCGAGGCAGGGAGAGGCGCTGCAGATGATTGGAATCGAAGCTGGGTTCGACAGCCCCCAGGCCAACTCCCAGTGCTGTGACTTCCTGCGAACGTTCGCCGCGGACAACAAGGCCCTCGCCCTCCTTATCATTGCAGAGAAAAGAAACGTCGCGTTCCCTCAGGTCATCCTGCTGCCCCTTTGGCCTTGGCCTTTCTTTTGTCTCCCCTTTCTGACTCTCCCACCCTTCCATCTCCTACTCCCCCTCCCGTCCTCAAGCTGTCCCCCCGCCACCGTCATCCTCTCCAACCAACTTCCCCCCTACTTCTATCCTTCGTCCCTGCTTCTATCTCTGCTCTCATCACATCTCTCAGGTCTGGAGGGACAAGAGCAGCACTCAGTGGCAGTGGAAGGAGTCCGAGCATGGCATCTTCATGCAGCTCGACGCGCTCTCCATAGGAGCGGTGGACTACAAGGCGGAGAGGAAGGTATGGTTCATCCCTACAGGGACGGCCAAGGGAAAGCCGAGGGAGCCGGTTGAGTTAGACATCGATCTCTTTGCTATCATGCCACCTCTCCTCCGAACTGCCTGACCAAGTTAAATGAAGCTCTCAACTCTTGTTCCTGGTCTCCTTTCTGCTGAGATTCTCAGCTGTGCTTTCGCCGTATCTTGCTCTTGGTCGTTGATGAATCTGTGTATGAAGGTAGCCTTTCTCTTCTTCTTTCATGCTTCATTCCTCGAATTCGCACACACAACCCGAAGCCGCTCGTCTTGTCCGATCAGATCCTGATGAAAAATGCCGGTACCTCAACAGCATTGCCAGGGTTTCAAATTCTCTTGGATTCTATCTCAGAATTTCGATCCACATCGTATAATTTTAGTGAATACACTGAAATTTCGAGGTCTCGGAGTACTACGGTAGGCGGGTTTGATTCAATGCAGTGAGCGCCAAGCGCGGGATGGAAACTGACGGGGAGAAGGAGCAGGAGCAGGAGCAGGACCAGGACCAGGACCAGGGACACTGGCGCGAACGATCCATGCATTTCGAGCAGGATGAACAGGCTGACAAGGAGAGGACGCGAGAAGCAGCGATCGAAGAAGCTTCCATAGAGGAGCTGCTCTACGAGCTCGAGAAAGCCTCGAGACGCAAGGAAATCAAGAGGATGCGGCATCGGTTGATCGCTCTGACCAACAGCCTCGAGGCCATGGAGAGCATGCCGAGGGAGGAGGAGGATCGGCCGTGTTGTGGAGACACCAGGGGGGTTGGAGGAGAGCCCAGTGCTCTAAACCTTCTCTCTCTAGGATGTGACCTCCTGTGCCGAATATGGCCAGCCAATCGCGTTATCGCTGGTCAGAAGGCATGTAGACAGCTGAGGGTCGAACTTGCCAAGTCGCGCCATGTTCTGCTGAAGGCGAAGAAGAAGTGCGGGCTGCTGGACCTCGCGCATGCCAACATCCGACAGTACTGCGAGCGTGTCGACATCGAGCTGTCCAGCAAGAGTCAGCACAAGATGATGTTGGCTCTGCTGTCCGGCATGAGGCAAGGATGGCACCCAGAGCTCAAGTTAGTCATGAGTTTCAACCAGATGTCGATCAAGGGAGCGGTTAGGCTTGCTGAGACTGTCGTCCACCTCAGGAACTTGCAGAGTCTCGACGTCTCTGAGAACGGCATCGGCGCTGTCGGGTGCTCGAAGATCGTGTGGGCCCTCACGGAGCTGGAGCATGTCGAGTTTCTCAACTTGCAGGGCAACGATCTTCAGGTCCGCTCGCTCCTCCTGTGATTGCGGGCGATGCTGATGAGGCTGCAGGCAGAAGGAGCCAAGAGAATCGCGGGGGCTCTTCCTAAGCTAGAGTCGCTACAGGCCATCGACCTGAGAAGCAACAGCATCGGGCCCGATGGCATCGAAAAGCTGAGCGCTTGCCTGGCGCGTTGCCGATGCCTGACATCATTACACCTTGGGGACAACACCCTCCTTGCCGAAGGAGCAAAGCACATAGCGTCGATGATACCCAAATGCCCCATGCTCAAGAGCTTGAATCTTTGCAAGAACGCCTTGCTGGACAGAGGGGTCAACCTTATCGCTTCTGTCCTCCCTGCTGCCACTTGCTTGACCCAGCTCGACCTTTGCGGAAACGAAATCAGCGACGCAGGATTCCGCATCCTCGTCTCTGTGCTGGGTGAATGCGGCCGTTCTCTGAGGTTGGACTTGAAGGGAAACAAAATCAGCCGGTCGAAAATGTTGAGCGCGTGTGATGAGTACGAGGTTGAGGCGGATTCTTTCACGATCTGACAGTTGAGATACGTTCCCCTCTTTTCTGCCACGCAAGTAAAGGTACAAATAACGATGTGCTACAAATCATCAAAACGAAAGATTTATTACTAGCACTCAGCTCATTTGAACGAAGGACGAGAACAGGCTCTGCCAGTTGAAATAGCGAAGATAGCGTGGAAAGGAGTAGGGGGCTTCTAAGTCTAGCGCTTCGGCAGTTCTCCCTGAGACACGGAGGGCCAGTACCTGCTCCACCATCTTCCCGTTGTCACAATCCACTCCTTCATCATCGAATGTCTCTGTGATGATTCTTGCCCCTGCCTCCTCCAATGCCAGCAGCCATCTAAGGCGAAATGTGCTGGATGGCGCTGTTATCCAGACTCCATTCGACTCTGTCCCAGATTCATTGCTGATATGCATCGCAAACGACAGGGCTTTGTCAGGAACCAGGACCACGGAGACAGAAGGGAGCGCGATGGAGTAGATAGGAGTTGTGTAAGTATCATTGGCGAACAGGTTCAGCCTCCTCCTGCTGTCTTGCGCGATGCCGTCTTCTATCTTCCCCCAGACACTCATTACTTGCGAGTCGGCAAGGCTGCTCCTGACGTCAAGCATCCCTCTCATGTACATCTTGCCAGTTGATCGCCGTTCGTGGTATGCCAATTGGAACTCCTTGCACGCCCGATGCCCTTGCAAGCTAGAGGACAAGCAGGATGAAGACTTAGAGGAAGAATGGTTCCTTGATCCAACTGTACGGCCATACCGTGCCTTCCAACTCTTGCTGTCAGTCTGCCCTGCTCCGCTGGAATACTTTGGCGACGTGGAAGGCGAGACGAACACTGCAGGAAGGCTCTCCGAGATCGTGTAGAGTTTCAGACTTGTCAAGGGACTCTTCGCGGCTGGCTTGGCACAAGGCTCACGACCTGCCCAACGATGTGAAGTCAGGCAGGAGCCCGTTGGCAATTGAGGGGTTGGCAGCACGAGCCAGGGTATCTCTGGTCGTGCGCTCTCGGAGCCTCGACGCAGCCCCTTGGCTCCTGGATCTCGAGACTGGGTGTTTAGACGAGGAGCAGAGGAAGGCGAAGTTATCCGTCTTGTGGTGGTCGTGGGGAGGGAGGAGCTCCTTGCACGCGTAAAGCTGCTTGCGCCAGCTGAGCCCATTCGGCTCGACGAGTTGGTCGGCGAGATGTTTCGAGGGGGGGAAGCCCTCCCGGGGCGCGAGGTTGGAGAGGGAACGCGAGGGTTCTTGCTGAAATGATCAGTGTGGCTGCTCTTGTCGTCGTTTGCCATGCCCCTGGGAGAAGAGCGCGGGGAGGAGTAGCTCAGGAAAGCAGATGTAAGCTCCTCACTCAGGTTATCTGCCGTCATGGCGGGATCCAGAGATGAGGAGCACAAAGAAGCAAACAAGAGGAGGGAATGTGTTTGGGGAAGTATGAGAATACGGCAGGGGGGAATGGGGGGGGGGGAATTCAAGTAGCCGAGCGGCCTTCGCGCAACGAAACGAAGAAGTCAAGGGGGGAAGGGTCGGGGTAATGATGTTGACAATCAGGGGGTGGGGTTGTCAAACTGTCTTATCAATAGGGTGGGTATACAGTCTCATTAGAAATCCAGAGACAATTCAGGGGAATCGGTAGGGTAGGGTGAACCTTTGAAATTATGGGTGGGGTGGGGTAGTGATGCGCAATGCAGTAACAAAAGGCGTGGGAACAACGAGCTCTTTATGAGATCCTAGGATTCCAAACGTTGCAATCTCGAAGTTTGAGCTACCAAGACGTGATTGGAAGAAAAGCTTTTCAAGGCAATCATGAGGTCTGGTTGATACGGAACGTTGCAATCTCCTGCTCCAGATGCGGCTTCCCACGTGACGGAGGAAGGTATCCTGATATGGGCCGTGATCTGCACGGAACGGCGAGGGCAAGCAATCGATTCAAACCAAATGGAACCAAAAAATAAATTGCGGGCCTGTGTATCAAAATACGTCCTATCAGAAGAACTGTGACGTGATCGAAAATTCTCGACCCTCCTATTTATGGTGAATCGTTGTGCTTCAAGGGATTCGGCGTGACCATGACCCGTAGAGGGGTCGAAGGGATCGGGCAGGTGTCTATCAAGGCGCGGGGAGGGAACAAATACATAAGTCCAACTTCTACATACTCCGCCGAAAGTTGGTGAGGAAAACAAGCAGTATCTTTCCTGTGGTCCCGAGGAAGATTGTCTAGTAGTGCTGATCCGGTTTTTGCACTGAAGACAACTGATATACATTTGGGGAAAAGTTGCTACTCTAAAGGATAAGGAAATCAGCAAATTTGCTCGTTGCTAAATCAGCTCGTGAATGCCAAGTGCATCATTGGATCAAGAACACGTGGGGAACACAGTGTCAAGCGTATTAGTTTGTCAACGATCAAACAACCCTGACATGGAATATCAAGGCCCTCACCCTAAAACTCAATGCAAAAGCGGACATGTCGAGTGCTCTCTGAAAGGAATTGCTTCTCAAATAAACAATGATGCTGGATCCGAGATGCAAAAAGAAGCTTCATTCGCCCTATTTTGTTTGGGTTTGACCTCAAAGAACTTCACCTTGTCCACCTATCAAAGAAAAAGACTACAAGCTCTACATCATAGTATTGTTTTCATTGAAAACTTGCAAAGGGATAATGAGGGCAGCATTGATGGCAAAGAATTGCCGTGCGTGAATTTCAAAGCAGTTTCAGTGTAGATGAATCGACAATGATGTATTCTTGTACTAATATTAATTGAATAAACATGCAGACGTTTTCCACAATTCAGTCATATTGTTCAACGCAAAACCGAACCAAGCTTATCACGACTTGATACACTGATCGAAACCAAAAAGTATGATTTCGTGTTTCGTATCAATCTTAGAGATAATTCAGAATTTTGCAAATTTTTCTATATTGCTGGTTTGTATTCATTTCACAAAAAAATAATGTTCTATTAAGGTATCAAGGCATGTGACGTGACGTTCTATGAGCAATTCCTGCAGAGACGCATGGAAGGGGCTTGCCATCAACACTTCCACCCTCCACTTCTTGCAATTTAGTCATGTAGTTGATGGAGTTTGCAAGGGCCAACAAGTGCTTCTTTGAACGAGCAGAAAAAGTGTTGAATTTGGCAACATCGATGTTTAACGTGGCGATTTGCAGTGCCTGGTCGACGCCCTCACGTGGAGAGACGGGTAGCAATGAGTCTGAACGCCTTGACGAAGCAGAAACTTCAGAACTCGGAATTCTATGGTGAGAAGGACCATCAATGTCGGTGGAAACGGGTATGGCGAATTGTGATGAAGGCAAACATGAAGATGAAACCAGTAAGCCGGGGCTCCTTGAAGATGGATTAGCAAATTCACATTCTGAGGAGCTTGGCGCAGTTTCTCCTGTAACTGTTGTCGCCACAGTGACACATGCAATCATTTTGCTTGCTCCAAATCCAAAGCACGAGAGCAAGCCTTGCCTTGCTTGTGAAGAATTCCAGCCCTTGCTCTTCACAGTTGCCGTATTGTAGGATCGAGGATACGATGGCAAGGCAGATTACAACTCTATCGGTTCTTACTGCACCCTTGATGGATCCCGTGGCGTTGAGTTTGCGACAGGAAACGAAGCACGTCGTGTCGGATGGGGCACAGAAAAGCAAGATCCGGAGATGCCCTCCATCCCTCCAGGGAGTCGGAGGGAGCCTTACAAGGATAGGTTTCGAACCGTTGTGTTCTCTGGATCCCGGCACAGGGGTCACGAGGTAACCTTGAAAGGGGGTTGCAACAAAAATAGTTTTATGGGGTCAGTCACGAGGCGACACCTAAAGCCGGAGGCATCGACCGGCATCTCCCCGGGGCTCACGGACTTCAGGGACTAGCGGCGACCTTTGTCCACGTGCCCGCCGCAATTCTTCATGACCCCCCCATATGAGCTTTAAATTGCGGGTAGTAGTACCCCGTCTGAAGTTACACCGAATTTCAGTAGCAGACCGTCTCTTTAGGTCATGCAAGGGCGCGGCGCCGCCTCAGTGGCCAGTTAAAGATCAGCACGAGGACAACAGTAGGCTCGTGACCCGGCCGGGCAGCGTGCCCGCCGGCCGCCAGTTGTGCGGCCCGTTGTGGGGGACTGAAACTCTGCAGGGGATTAGTTAGCCCTCCCCTTGACTAAAACATTTGTACCAGGAGCTACTATGATCCTAAGGTCTGAGGTGAAGCCCCCTATGCTACCAAAGGTGGGGAATAAAATAATGCTCGTTGCACGGAGAAAGCGCAGCAGCTGCGAGCAAGGAGGGGAGAGAACAAAGCGAGTGAATGGAGTGAAAATGCAATATCACGAGAAGTGACAGAAACTGATGAAGATTGAGAGGATGCTGATGAATAGTGCCTTTGCTTTCATGGTAGGGAGCTTCACGACACTGCATGAAGAATTTATTTTAGAAGCGTGTTTTCATCTGTATTATTTTATTGTCAGCGTATTCTTCGCTCTGTCATGAACTTATGCGTGATGTGATTGGTTGATACATAGATGGGTGTCGCTTGCTGGTGCTGTTTCAACAGATTACCTCGACGGCTTTGAAGCTAACTGATGGATTGGTTTACAAGGTTCGACAGCTGTCGGGGTGATCGCTGCATGCTGCACGATTACAGGTTGAGGACGATACGCTTTCAAAATTGCCTTGTGAATCTCCCCTACCGAGCTGAGCGGCATGTCGCTCTCGGCAAGAAGACTTGGTCTGGGAGCCTGTTGTTGGCCCGATACCTCGACGAGCACGTGAGCGGTGGAACTTTCAGCGTCTCAGGGAAGCAGGTTCTTGAGCTGGGATGCGGGACTGGGCTGGTTGGTATGACAGCGCTTGAGCTTGGAGCCGCTTCCTGTAAGAGGCATCGCCGTGCTTACTGCTTGTTGATGGGCAAAGGATGCGGCATGTGGTGGTGACTGTAAAGGTTTTCAGGCACCTTCACGGACTGCAGCATTCCTTCATTGACTGATCTGAGAAGGTGAGGGAGCACAGAGATAAGACGATGGAGATGAAGCATTGTCTTGCCATGCAGATGCATCTGCGGCTTGAAGGACATCGGCTCGTGGGTGGATGACGAAAGCTGCTGGGAATCAAAGGAGCAGAGGCTGGCGATCTGCAGACATGTTTGGGAGTCGGATCTGCCTGATAACGTTGGCAAGGATCTCCGTAACATGTTGAAGTGGTGGAGAATGGGGAATGGCTGAACATGTGTTCAGGACATTGGTCGAACGGAGACATCGCATCTGCAACGCACTGCCCTCCGTCAGTGAACATGGGAGGAAGAATTCCGGTCTTCTCTTACGCATCTGCATCCACAGCGCCCTTGGAGTTGACGATTCCTTCGAAGCAGTCGTTGCAAGTGACGTACTTTACTTCGTAAGTGGAGGAACATGGATGACCTGATTGTTACAACTGACCGGAACCTTGAAAGACTTCTCAGGTTGAACCACTTGTACATACAATCTTGCGGAGACTGCGGCCGGGAGGGTTTGCTCTTGTGTTGGTTACGATACGAAGGATCTCAACAAACACATTCCAAGGTGATAGAAGATAAAGCTGGTCACAATACTCTGACTCGCGTGTCCTTGAACGCAAAGACTTCTTGCGGGCACTGCAGGATGTCAACCTGACGTACGATGTGGAAGATTTGCTGTTGAAAGAGGAGGACGCAAGCTTGTTCGAGGTTGACTGCCTGATATTGACATGGCCGATATCTTTGACAAGAATTTCTGCCCTGCAGCAAAAAGACGATTTACCTGATCACTACCACAAGATTTTTGACAATGGCAAAGACTTGAAACACTCGCAGCCCATCGAGCAAGCTCAGCATGACGGCAGTGAAGAGACTGCCTCTCATCCTTTTTGCAGAGAGCCGAACAGTTGCTCGTCTGATCAGTGCTCTGAAAGAGGCGCCGAGCTCAATATTCAACCGTCAGATCACGTCTTAATAACGACCAATGACGATGGAGAAGAAGAATTTTTGCTGGACCTTGATCGTAATGACGAAGAAGAGCCTGACAAGGTGGGCATGATCATGATGGTTTCTTTATGATCCAGCTGAGTTTTTCTGATAGGGGCAAAGAACACAGGCGGAGAAGTTAGAGTCTGCAGTTTACTTTACAAACAACGAATTATGCTGGAAACTTGTAAAAATCTTCAAATGAGTCAGATGGCAAGTTTTGCGAGAATTATCCCAACATCCCAACTGGTGCTGGAAGGTGATGGTTCATGAGTATTCCTGTATGAAGGATTCAAGAGTCTTCTTGTCGATCATCTCTTCTGCATATTTCTGAACATCTACGTTCAGTGCAATACAAAGTAGGTAGAACGCATCAACCTGCCCCATCTCAAACATCTCCTCGAATTGATCCTGGAATCATGTTAGCAGGGCATGCAACCACAGCAAAGCAAGCACCAGCGAGATGGTCTCCAGGAAGTTCCACCTGTAGGAAGTGACTGAATCGAAGGCAAGAACAAGATAAGATCTATTTCTCACTTCCTTGCCATGAGCTCCTTGTCATCCTGGTGGTGAATCATCAAGGACGGCTGCGTCTCCATGTTACATGCTATTCTTTGGGTATCAACCTCGCACCTTGCGGTCTTGCGGCTTGAAGTGCCATGGTTTGTTTCTCAACACAAACGTGATGGAGCCATCGACGCAGATATCACCATCGAGCGATCGAGACATCTGAAGAGAGAGACGTAGGAGCTTCAAGGCCGGCAGTGCTCGCAATCTCTTGCTCACCTTCCCATCCAGGAACATGGGGACATGAACAGAGGCCATGCAGGCCTCGATCAGGTCCTTCTTTGTCTTGAACCGTGTGATCGACTTGCGCTGATATCACAAGAGCATCAACATCTTCATACGCAACCGAATGCCTCTTGTTGTCCACCTTGAGGGGGAGGAAGCTCAACCGTACTGAGGTCACAGAGACTGCCACCTGGCATGACATGAGCATCAAGAGCAGGACAATCCAACCATGTCTACTCGGTCTGTGCAGATCTCAGCCGCGTTCTCCGGCAGGAGCTCGTCCAGCCACTGGTAGATCATGTCGCCCCATATCCCCGCCAGCCCCTCCTTCCTCGTCCACACGTTCTTTTCTTCCGCCAGCCTGTGCAAATCAGCGTTACAGGCAATGGGTCCAGGGAAGCTAAGGAGATGTCTCGATGCGGAGGACCGAAATGAATGTAGCAGAAGTGCTCATGAAGTAAACAACAAAACAACAAAACAGCAAAATAAACAAAACAAACAAAACAAACAAAACAAACAAACAACAGCACTGCTAGAAAAGAGTAAGAAAGCTCACTTCTGCGCTAGATGAAACGCTTGCATCATGTCGACACCGCAGGCTGCAAACACTGCGCTCAGAGAGCCCGCGGAGGCTCCAGTGAAGTCGAAGGAGTCAACATTGATCCTTTTCTGCAGGCCTTGAACAACCCCTGCTTGCCACCAGAAGTATATTCCTCCTGTGCAGCACGTAGAGCATTTGAGGATTCACTCAGCGGGAAGGAAAGCAGATACCTCCGGGAAACACTATCAAAGGGCGAGAATCGGAAGGTTGTGGTTCAGACTTTGCTCTTGACTTCCCCATCAGGAGAATGGTTTTTTCCTCACGTCTTTGGCGAGAGGGTACGATGAGCGGGCTAAGCTGGATGCGGCCGCTGGCTGGGATCTGTGACGAGGACGGCAGATGTTGCAGTCGCGGATTCGAGAAGTAGCCCTGGTTCAAGAACCGGTAGCTTTTATGTGCGAAAAGAGTTCGCTCATGAATTGCAGAGTGATGGTGAAGGATTAGACTGACGAAAAGCGAGGAAATTCTAACTTTCTCTGCTCTCATCAATTGTGAAGCCCCGGATGATCCATTCAATCCTGCTTCACGCATTCAAATGCAAAACAAACAATATTCAAATCCATCAGCTAGATGTCCTTCTAGTCTTCTTCACATGATGCCTGGAATTCGCCACATTCCTTCCTCTGTTTCTTCATCCATGACAGCATCTTCTCTCACTTTCTCACTCACTCACTCCTCCATCAGCCCTCCATCAGCCCCTTGTATTGCCCTGGCTCCCACCCTGCCCGCTCTCTCCGTTCCTCACTCTCTTTGCCTCTCTCTATCTCTCTATCATCCTTCATTCCCCATCTACCTCTTGTCCTGCTCCTCTTCCCTGCTCTCCTTTCTTCTTCGACCTCTTCCTTTTCCTTTCTCGCTGCCCCTCCTTCCATCCCTTCATAGCCCTCGGCATTTTTTGCCTAGTAGGGTGGGTAGGGGTACTTCAAAGAAGGTATAAATGACAAGGGGTGTGTACTTAGACCCTACAATATCATTACATATGAGGGGGTACTAGTGAGGACAAGGAGTTGATTGAGGGGAAGGGTGGTCGTAAGGACGGGTCCGCTCGATTGGGGTGCATCATCGGAGGGACGCATGATGAAAAAAAGAAAAGAAAAGAAAAGAAAAGAAAAGAAAAGAAAAGAAAAGAAATAAAAGGAAACACCTTTTACAAGAATAACAAAAAAGAAAAAAATTGAAAAAAGAGAAAGGCACACCACATTGTTCTCGTACTGATCTTTAACTTAACTTTGAGTAAAGAAGTGTGACTGATTGCAACCCTTTTTTCCAAGACTGTCATCAAAAAACGAAAACACGTCTTTTTGATGATTTTTTGTATCTCCAACCATGGAGGTTGGGAATTGCTGACTTAAAAATCAGGCAAAGCTGACAGGCAGCTGATGGTGATCTCATGATCGGGGCGCCCCTGTAAGGTCGTACCGGGGTTTTGGGACCCAATATCTCGAGATCTGCTATCTCGATTTTTACTCCTTATACCCCTGCAGCCCCCTTTGGAGGTAGAACTATGTACCCCACCCTAGCCATTTGCCTGGAGTTGACAGTAAAATGAAGGGTACGTGTTCCATGCTGACTGGGAGAAGGAATTGAAAAGATGTACTTTCGTTTTGATCATGATATTGGAGGTATTTCCCACCGCGTCCTTGAACCCCGATGTCGTGCGTTTGAACCCCATACTAGCCTCTTCGTCCTTGACGACCAGCCCCTCCTCCTCCTCCTCCTCCTCCTCCTCCAACGCCAACTCCAACCCTGCGTACGTTCAGCCTTTCCTCCTGCCTCAAACTCTTTTCTCTTCTCATTGTACCCATGCCCGGGCCAACAAGCGGGCAGGACCACCATGGCACTGTGTCGCCTGACGAAGTTGATGTGCATAATGAGAGTCATGGGCCAAGCGAACCCTCTCGTGAGGATATGAACATGAGACTGTGCCAGCTTCGCTGCCACCTCCACATTAAAGATGAGTTTTACTCGGACAACGAATGCCCTGTATGGGCGGTGATGGAGAACAAGTACGTGTGTTTCTACGAAGATCAGACGCTGCAGAAATCTCTTGGTGAGATATCGCTGCAACTCGCTCTTATCAAGACTTTCGACATCCATTCCCTGGTTATCGCCCTCAGCACTGTGTTGGAGCCAGCCGTCGATGCGACAGAGCAAGAGACACCAGAGGACAGCATCTACGTCGTCTTCCCTTCTGAGACCATGAAGAATCGTTGGGTGTTCGGCATGGAGAGGTGTGGAGCGAGGATCCAGGCCATGAGGAGCTCGACTTCGCCAAAATCAGCCAGAGACATGCTGCATGACTATCCGAATCTGCCGAAGCCCATCCTAAAGAGGCTGGAGGACAGGAAGGACGACAACAACAGTTCCTTCGGATCAAACGCCAGCAGCAAGAGCGAGGGAAGAAAGGTCAGGTTCGAGAGAAGGAGTCAGAGCTGCGTGCTGTTTGACCAGGGTCACATTGAGGCTCTCAAGGCGTAACTTCTCTTCCCGCCATCCAAGACGTCTGTCACCTTGTTCCAGTATCATTATTCTTTACTCTGTTGTAATGTACATCATAAAGCATCCGAAAGAGATTTCTTAATGTGCTTGCTGATCACTAGTATTGTTTTTTTCGACCCCATTCTTCACACGATGATCATAGCGGCTCGAAACTTCTTGCGTTTCGTCACTCCCAAGATTCATTGCAATCTTGTCTTTGAGATCCATTCTCTCATTGCTTTCTGTTCTGCTTGTGGCATCGGGTCGTCATGGCGAGCCTGAAAGGAGGAGCAACATTGGAACATGAACTACCGTTGAAGCTCACACATCATTACCTTGTCGTCAGAGACCCACTCCTTGCAGGATGCAGGAGAATCGGAAGTCGAGAAAAGCTTTTCCCCTTGTGCGTACGGCACCCACTCGTCCACTTTGGAATGGTACCTGAAAACTCGAAGGTAAGTTCCCCATCACCACCTTGATAGGCCTACTCGAACAAACACGATCTTGTCCGGGAAATCAGCGACAGGCTGTTCATGTTAGGCGCCCAGACGAGATGAACGATCCAGCCAAGGACAGGGAGGTTGATAGAAGCCGCATCCTGACGACATGAAGAGGCAGGGATAGTGAGCAACGTCACTCCCAGTGGTCAGGGGCACACTTGAACCACCTACCTTGTAACTGGTGAAGGCGCTCTCAAGGATCAGCCCTCTGAAGGGTGTTTGTGCTCTCGCCATCTTCGCTGCCAGGTCAACAGCCACAGCAGATCCCATCGATCGCCCGAGGCAACTGTCCACCATCGTCATCAACCCACCGCCCAGCATTTCTTTCCCTTACAAGAGCTCTGAAGGCATGCGACCCTTGGACCTCAATACCTGCCATCCTTTGACTATGTCATCCTCAGAGCAAACCTGACTGACCCAGTCTAGAGCAGCCTCTCCTGCCTTCATCACCGACGCCTCCGACGAAGCCCCCGAGCTCTTGCCGTAACCCGGATAATCATAGACGAAGAGGTTCAGGCCTGATGTAAGATTGTTCAATACAGAAGAACACATCATCCTCATCATGATCCTAGGAAACAAACTCACCGAGGTTCCGTAGGAAACGATATCGCTGGAGCCTTTCAGAATTCAGTCAGTGAAACGTTTTGTCCAATCACCAAGATTACCTGTAATTACTCGCGATGTTCCCCCCGGAACCATGGTTGTATAACAAAGTGGTGTTGCTCTCATTGTAGGACCTGAAACGATTCCAAAATCAGCATTCAATCCTGATGATCAAATACGGGAGCAATGCCGAACAAATCATCCAAGCACCAACCACAACAAAGCAACCATTGCGTTACAACCAACACAGACAGGTGAAGGAGATCTTGGCATATCTTACGGGATCCACCATCCATGGACCGATGTTCCATCATCCATGGTGATATAGACATCTTGCTTGGGGACATCCGGAGTCAAGTAGGTACAGCAATAAGCATCGTTGCTCGCACAAGAAGGTTTGCAGTCTGAGCTGCCGACAGACGGGAAGGGAGTGTAAGCAACCAACACAACAAGCGCGACAATGATGGCGGCAAGGATGTAAGAGAGCAAAAAGTAAAAGAGGGCCCGAACGGCAATCCTCTTCCACAGGCTGATCGAGTACCGCCTCACTAGCTCCCTCCCCTTGGCTCTCGCAATCTTCTCCTCTCCTCCCATCGTGTCCTCCAAGTGCGGCTCATCAGCAGTCGGGAGCTTTTCTTCGTTCGCCTCGACGCCCTCCTCGACATCTCGAAGGATCACCTGACTGTCTTCTGTGGCTCTGCATCTTCTCAGCTCATTCCCACAGAGGAAGCTCGCTGTCCCGGAACCGCAACAGAAGGAGCAGACGACGGCAGAGACCCATGAGACCAGCCATATCAACAGGTCTAACATATCAGCAGATCCTCGCAATGCACATGAAAGGGACTTGGCGACGTCCAATCAGAACTGATGAAGCAAAATTCAATGGGCCCACTCGTCTACATGGGATTATTGGCCAACTAACTTGCGAGGCAGGACCCAAAGGCTCTGAAAGCAAGAGACTGGAGAGAAAGCACGTCAAAATAAGGAGAAAGCGGAACACAGCAAAATCTCAGATCGCTCGAAAGACAGGCATGCCCGAAAATGGGGAAGCAATGAACCAGAAACTTTGACTGCAAGAACATCCAGGTGTTTCGAGAAGCAGGACACGACAGATCGAGAGGTAAGTAAAGATCTGGATCAAGAATCGTGGTGAGTGATAAAGGAAAGGCAGGTGGAAATGATAGCGAAGATGAAACTGAGGAAGGGAAGGCCGCGACGTAGGACAAAGGGAGGGAGTAGAACATCAGCAACATCAAAGGATAACGTGGAAGAGAAAAAGAGGGAAGAGGATACCGTCCATGATGGAGATGGGGTGGGGAAAGAATGCGAGGAAGAGGAAGAGGATGATGTCGAGGAGGAGGAGGAGGAGGAGGAGGAGGAGGAGGAGGAGGAGGAGGAGGAGGAGGAGGAGGAGGAGGAGGAGGAGGAGGAATGAAGAAAGCCTGCCATTGCTCTATTGCAGACTTTTCGCAACAGGACCAGTCATTTCGACCCTTGCAGTGTTTGACTAATCCTTGTGGTACTATCTGTTTGTACCAGTTGCTTTGATCCTGGGAGCTACTACTACATTGTAAATGCAAGCTCAAAACTCATGGGTAGGGTAGTAGATATCTTCAAATATACCGGTATATATATCTAGAAAATTGGGGGTTGCTGTGGAAATGCGAGATTAGATTAGGGTAGGGTCATATTACTGGGGGTTGTGGACGTTTCACATAACGGGTATAACGGATAACCGCCCAAATGCATTTTCTAAAGATAGAAGCCGACGGCTATGGCTGATCTTGAGCGGAGCAAGAACGATGCAGAGACAGAGATCTGATCATGTTGTGAATGATATTCCTCCATGTCACTCCAAGATGGCTGTGATGTGTATCGCGCAGATCTCGCTTTTGAGGTTTCTTGTAGTCAAGCAAAGCTTTTTCAGGTTTAGTCGGTACCTTGCTCAAGAAGAGATGGGCTCGTTTTCTTGGTGTAGCTCATTCTGTTTTTTAACTCTATTCAGCATTATCCATTGACACGTATTGTTGTTTGGTGCATGATGAATCATGATACGGATGAGTCTCCATTGTACTATACAGTATCTGCGCGGCTGTGCATCCATAACAAAGACCTGGCGCATCCTGACTTTGCAATGTCCTTGCACACGAGCTCTGAACTCTGACTCTCTTCATCAGCTGACCAACAATCTATTGCTGATGAGACTGTGCTGCAGATCATGGCAGAGAGGAGATAGAGCGGACCCGGGTTGTTGAAGGAATTTTGAAAACATGCTTGGATTGCTCAAGATGATGCCTGGTGATCATGTACTTGGTTATAACATCGCCACTCACATCTTTCCAGTGACCCTGGTCTGCTTGCTTATTACAGTGCATGCAGCGCAAGGCTACAAGTGCTTCGAAGGTATACCACCGTGAATCTGAGCATGCCGGTGATGTTTTCTATCAGGCCAGGTCACATACTGTGGAATCAATGCTGATGGAGGAGCGGTCGCCCCACCAGGAAAGAACTATTACGTGGAGGTGGACGAATCTTCTTGCCTTTCCCGTCCTCATTCCACCTCCAGGGTCAGAACTGGGCATGCACAGACCCTGGGAGCAACATGGACCCAACCTTCATCGCTCCAAACTGCTGGGATCAGGTTGAAAAGCTCCGTCTCCACTCCCCGCATCTCTTCTCTCTCTCAACTCACTGCCTCTCCCGCCCCTCCCATGCATCACTTGCGGGTAACCACGTGAAATACAGCAATCATGCTCGAACCTCCAGACAGACCCGTATGACGATGCTTTTAATATGAGCCATCAACAGCCCTATGACTACGTTGGAAACATCGGTGATGAGGACTTGATGAGGAAGGAAGTGAATCCACTGAGGTTGAGCAGCTTATATCGGCGAGTTGACCAACACGAGCCTCTCCTGCCCTGCTGATGTACCGGCGTGCGGACTGCAGACGACCCTGTAACAGTAGAATGAGATGTTTCGATGTTGATGCTAGCACTAGGCGGGAAGCAAAGCACGCGAATGGACAGCACAGGGATTGCGAGCAGTGTTACACGAGATTCCGCTATAGCGCTGATATCGGAGCGATCTACTGGAACGTCTGGCAGGTGATGAGCCTCAATCTGACCACGTCCTGTCCTTCTCGTGTTGACTGGATCTTCGTCGTCCTCAGATCCAGAAGAAGTGCGTCGAGCCAGGCACTCCATGCAACAACACAGCCTGCTACTGCACAGTCGATGCACCCTACTATCAGGGGGAGCTCCATATCCCCGATGGCAACGGCGGGTACACGATCGTGAGGAGATAGTCGTGTTGAGCGGGTGGGTGTTGAAATGATGACAGCAAAATGGATCGCAATACTGCAGCGTCTGGGCCAAGTCAGCATGCAGGCGTAAGGTTGGGTCTGCTTTTTAACCATGGACAACGTTGCTCACTGATGATTCAGGTGTTCAAGTGTGTGTTCCACCTTGCAGACTACGTCGTCACGACGTTCCAAGACTACGAGATCAAGTTTTGCTCCATCGGCCCGGATACTCCAGAGGTGAATGCCAGGAGGGTTGAGGGTGTAGTGACGTGGAGCCGGCAGTGCTCGGGGTGTGTCGCTTGCAAGCATGACGACTGCCTCTATCCTGTAATCCACGCATCGAAGGCGATCGATCCCAAGACTGGTTCGTTCGCTTCCTCCGCTCTTGTCTTTCCATGTCGCTCATTCTCCCTCCTTATACCCCCTCGTTGCTCCTCTCCTGTCGTGGCCGGTCTTTCTTCTTCCCCGGCTTTCCCTGTGCTCGTCGTTAACTTGCTGTGCAGACTACAAGAATGCCTCCAACTACAATTGCAGCATGGAGCTTTGCGGGGAAGCTCCTCGCACATGCTGGAACGAGGTCAAGGATGTTACTACAGGCATCGTGTGCTGACTGCCATGCCAGACTTGCATCTATACGGATGATTGCTGGCCTAAGTGTGATCCTACTCTCTTCCACAAGAGGATCGTGAGTTGAATCAGTAGTCGACATGCATGTCTTACTGACACGACCTCCCCCTCCTCTTCTATCTCCTCCCTCTCTTCCCTCTCCATCTTCTTTCTCCCACCTCCGTCCTGCAGGGCTGGGCAAACATGGGATTTTACGTACCTGCGTCTGGTGCCCGCGTGCTGATCGAGGAGGTGAATACTCAAAGTGCACCATGCGGACGTGTGTGGAGTGATATGGAACTCTAGGGAAAGTGTTGCGAAAGCGACTATTGCAATTACGCAAACTCAGCGAGTAATCGTTCACACCCTTGAATGTTTGTTTGGTGACTCCTTGCAGGTTTTCTCAAGATGCAATGGATGACTTTGGTGCTGACGATAATGTTGTGTGTGTATGTTAGTGTGTAGCAAGGAAAGTAAAAGAAACAAGCTTTGTCGAACGATTATTTTTATTATGTTATGCTGACACGACAACCAGTTTAATGACGGTTGTAGAAGTAATCCCACTGGTGGCGAGCACGGCGCCAGTCATCGTAGGAGGCGGCATCGTTGGCGCGGTAGTAGGTATCCTCGGACTCCTGGTAGAGAGCACGGGCCTGGGTGTTCTGAACGAACGCCTGGGTGTAGAGGTTGGCAGCCTTCTTTCCGTAGAGGATAGTGCGCATTCTGCGTCGAAGTTAATTCAAATCATCGAATTGAATTTGGATTGATCATAGTGGACAAGAAACAACAATAATCCGAACATACAAACCCTCCAAGTCATGCCTGACCGAGTAATAAAAATCTATTGCTAAAAACTGCCTGCTGCTTGACCTCAGTTCATCTAAACTCCTCAAAGACCTTTACCAACAAGATAAAAATCTAGTTCGTCATGCATCATTCACCACAGCTCTGAATAACGCAAACTGATGGATACCACTCACTGCACTTTTTAGTCCTGTTCAAGCTGTGTAGTTACTTCCAACCTGAAGTACAACCGGTCTTCTCATACCTTTCAATATGGAACACACAGGAAATGATTGTACATGTTCTACATTGTCTGTTCCATCATTCACACAACATAATCTTTAACCCGCAAGCGTTCTCATCATCATCGTCATCGCCTCAACATCTCTTCGCATTTACCTGCGTTTCTCTTCGCCAAGGGCCACTTAGCTTTTCATTCACCACCCCCCCAGTTCCTACCCCTACCCCCCAAAACGACATATACCCCCTCTTCTACCTTCACTCACCCCCATTCTGCTCTTTTTAAACAGCTTTTGTACTGCACCCACCCACTCAATAGTCCCACCCTACCCCACCTCCTCACCCCCTTGATCGATGCCCTCTCGTCCTTTTAGCTCGGACGCTCTGACGCTGCCGAGCCCGAGTGGCCGGGCCCGGGGCCCGCCGGGCCCGGGGCCGCCGATCGGACCGTTGACCGCCGCCGCCGGGGCGGCGCCGCGGGCCCGGGCGGCGGCCCCGGGTGCGAGGCCGCACTGAAGTCGCGGGATCCCGGCCACTCGCAGCGGCGTCCGAGACTTACGGTCCCGGAAGTGGGGGCCCGGTCAAGGGCCGGGGGCTGACCGAACTTACCGTACTGCGGCTGCCGATGGAACTCAGCGCTGAGTGCTGAGCGGCCCGGGCGAACTTCGGACTCCCCGGGGCCGGAACCGCCACACTGTTACTGACTCAACGGTTGCGGGCCAGTGTGATACTGAAGTTGCTCGGAAATTTTTTGTAAAGATAGTACAATACTATTACCATCATGACATGGAAGTTTCCGAAGTTCTACCGTAACTCCGATAAAACGCGGCGTGTGAATCGTTCAAGTTGCCGGGCACTCAGTGCCCAGTATCGGATCCTAACCAGGCTTGAATTCGCCGAACAGTGCAATCAGCCGCCCGGCCGCCCCAGCCCTCCGAGACCGCTTCAGTGTTACATCACATACCGTACGGTGGCCGCCGACCCGGCGGGACCGTACGGCCGCCCGCCGGGGCCGTACCGTCACGGGTCGGACACAGCGGCCCGGCCTGCACTGACGTGCTGAGCGAGGGCGGCGCCGCCGGGCCCCCGAGTCCGAGCCGCCCGGCTCGGAGCGCCTGCCCGGAGCTGCCCGGGCATCACTGATGTGATGATCATCGGATGCCATGATGCCGCCGCATGCTTGCCGGCCCGGGCACGAAAGTAACTCGACTCGAACAGGGTTTGACGGCAACGCACTGGCAGTGACTGCCACGGTGGCCGCTGAGTGACGGGCCGGGCGCCGCGGGCCGACTGCACGGCAAGCGGCCGGCGGAACTGACACCGTTCAGTAACTTGCTGCCGGGCGGAGCGGCTGGGCCATCGGAGTCCGATCGGACGTTCCTCAAGTTGGCACACGAGGGTCAGGCCGCGTCTTTGATGCGCTTGTCTCCTCTGAGGTTGGATCGCCTCAGGTGCTCTCGGATCTTCTCGCTGCGGAACTTTGCGAACTCACTGTCCTCCTCCTCCTCGTCCGCCAGGTTGCGGATGGGGCTGCAGATCAGTCAGAGTGAGGCACGAGAAGACAACTGTTTCATCGTCAACCTGTCCACAAACTTGTTCATCTCGTCTCGCAGCTTGTTCGCCTCGTCGCTCTCCTCCGCCGGCATCGCGGCCTTCTCGATGTAGTCCGGCGGCAGCTCTCCCGGCATGTGCTTCGGCCGGAGTTGGTCATAGAGGGCCCGATGCCTCGCCTGGATCTCACTCTGGTTCCATCGTCAGCTCCCTCAGCATCAGCCACAACCCTCACCGGAGGCCACTTAGCCACGAACTGCTTCTGCCGCTCCACGATGTGTCTCCTCAGCTCCTCGTTGCTCACAACCTCCCTGCTCAGACGTCACATCGTCCTCCCCTCCCCTCCCCTCATCATCCTCTTCCTTCCCTCCCTTACCGGATTCTTCTGGGAATCTCTTCCAAGGGCGCAAGCTCGACTGTATTCTCGAGGTCGGCGAAGTGAAGCGAGTCCTCACAGATCACCTGCCATGCAGTCAGCAAGTTTTCACTCCCTTCCTCCTCCCCCCTGTCCTCCTTCTCGCCCTTCACTCCTTACGTTCTCCCTCCTCGTCCTCGACCTCTTCGCTTGGCATCCTCTCCCTTCCTCCCCCCTCCTTCCTCCTCCACCTCCTCCCAGCTCAATTCCTGCTCTCTTCCCTTCCACCATCTTCCTGCCCTTGCTGCTAGTGCCGCCTGCAACTTACCGGCACATTGGCCAACAGCGCCATCCTGGCAGACCCTGAGGCAGCGAAGGAGAGATGGGAAGGGCGGCGAAGAAAGACGATGGCGGAGTACTGCGGGACAGCGTCAGGCAACTCTGGTAGAGCAAGAGGAAACTAGCCTCCGAGAGCCTCATGAGGAGGTCAGGAGTGTCGAGAAAGTCTCTGTCAACATGTCACGAGCAAGGAGGAACAGGGAGGAGGGAGGAGGAAGAAGCGAGGAGGGAGAAGCGAGGAGGAAGGAGGGAGGAGGGAGGAGGGA